ATCTTGTGTGGGTTTTTACTCCCATCCGAAAAGTAGGACTATCAGAAAAGCTACTGAAGAGATACTTCGGTCCCTATAAGGTGACCAAGAAGCTTTCAGAAGTTACGTATGAAGTAGAGCCCGTGGACCCCTCTCCCCGATCACGGAAAGCCAAGGATATCGTCCATGTCATTCGGATGAAGCCCTACTTGGACCCTGAAGAACAACATTCTATTCTGCTAGGGAACACCAGCCGTGATAGATTTCCTTCCAGAACAAGGGCTGAGATAAGCTAATCAGCGGGTCGCTGTTTTTTTTCTAAGGAGGGAATAATGTCAAGAAGCTAAGCGGCTCCAATCACGAGAGGCCCCATGGGACGTTTGTCAATCATCGCTGGACACCGGGTGTGAGGGGTTCTGGGGAATCTGGCCGGCGGGGGGAGCTGAGGTCCCTCATTAGGATTAACCTTAACTTGGGGTAAGTTCTACTTTATCCATCTCCCTATAAAAACCCCTTATAATAAATTAAGTATCCCCAAACTTGCCCTTGCTTTATTTATCTCCACGACAATATTGATGGGCAGTAACGAAGTTATCATTTATTTCTTTATTCCCTCTCTTGTTGGACGGCTATGACATTTAATACATCTTGGGCACTTTCCAACAGAGAGCGCTAAAGAAGGTTTATATCCACTAGCGGAGATAGACAATGTTATATGCAAAGGAGCTGAAGAAAAACATGGAGTTTTTGGCTCAAATGAAATTTTGGTAGCGCCTAATAATTATTTAACGCTATAAGAGGTTACAATTATTATTTTTAATTATTTTTATTTTTCAAACTACTTCATTTTATATAAAATCCTATATAGGAATGCCAAAATCTTCATGGTATTCCAACAGTTACATCTTGGTATGACACTTTCTATATCAACTAGCATACGTTGTGATCGTTCTCCCGTCGGAGGAGAAATGGATGGATTAGGGAATATAATTTTCAACCAAAAGATTCCACAACAATTTGGTGACACGTGTTTCTTTGAAATCTTTTGGTTAACATTTAAATTCGGCAAAATTTTAGTTAGATGCATATGATATTATGCAGAGAATGTTTTATAGGTTTGTTGGATTGATACTCTCACGTTTGTGAATTTTATAATTAATTTTTTTTCACTGATTTTTCTTATTAAATTAAAATAGTCATTTGTTATCATCATTACATGCAATGAATTTTTTTAAACAAACGATAATAAACAACAACAACAATGTAATTTGCATCTTCATTATTATAAAACAACAAACTTGAATTAACAATGTGAAAACATACAGTATTTTATCAATTAACACAAAACGTTACAATACGTTTAGTTGGAATTCTGACTTTTGTCAACAGCCGCTCTGTTTCACAATCACATGCGATTTTAAACGTGGTTCAGCCAAGACTTATTACCATGGTTGAGATGTTTGTGTTTACCCCTACATAGAATTTTCAAGTTATGATTTAAGTTTTTTATTTATTTGTAGTTTAAATTTGGGTGTGAATAATTCGGTTTATAAGAATAAAGGCTTCCTTTCCGGTCGAAATAAATATTAAACTAAGCGACAACTATTGGCAGTCTCAGCAAACTAGCGGACTCGGGTCGGTGACAAAAGCAGCAACACCAGATTGAGTGTTAGGTAACCTTCTTCTCTATACAACTCTCCCGCCCACCAATTGTACTATATACTAATCTCAAGGAACATATTGTTGGGATAAGAAGTCGCGGGGAGTCATCGAGAAAGACATTTTATGATAAGGTTAGATTGGTACAGTTGGGTAGGTCCTGGACTCATTGTCAGGATCTTCTTGACCTTGGGACTGGGTTGTTCACGTTGTGGGGAAGCAGTTCACGTCGTGGAACACGCTGGTATTAAACACACACCGTTCTTGAATTGTTTATTTCCCGGCGTTACGGCGACTTGCCTTCTCTTTCCTCAGGGGAATCACTTCTCTCTTAAATTCTAACTTATAATTCTATACTTTTCTCTTGTCCTTACTGCGATGAAAAATAGTGGAGGGATTTTGTCCATCAATGGCTCCCATCAGTTTTGCCAATTTAATTTACCATACCGATTTTCAGAGCTCTAATACTGTATTGGGCAATTCTGCTCATATATATGCGACAATGTAGGATGAAATATTGGTTGTGGTATTTGAGAAAACTATGGATATAAGTTTTTAGGACAGTAGAATTACATGTAAGTATTTGAATCTAGCAATGCTCTTCTGCAAATAATTCATATGAAAGTAAGCCATAAATTAATTATAAGTCAATAACGCGCCATCTACATATAGGAAATACAATTATTAAGCACGAATGATTTTTTTCTAAATAAAATAAAACTTTCTACTGTCCTTACTCTGCGATGAAAAATACACACTATTTTCAAAGAAATGCAAATAATCAAATATTGGTATTTATCGGGTAAATTATGAGATCAATGCTCGCTATGGACAAATACTTGACGGTCTGTGTGTATTTTAGAAAACCGTGAAAATATATGTAGTTAAAAGCTAGAGTTCAAGAATTTCTTCTTCCCCTGTGGAGGGCGACAGGAAGTCACCTAAACCTCGGTAAATATCAAGAACAGTTGAGGGATCTATATTCCTTTTAAAACAAACTCTCAACCATGATCCTTGCAAAGATATTAAACAAGTTCGCCGAGCTGGTCTATGGTCAAAAACAACTTTGTGACTTGGTTGACTACATACGGTTTCAAAATTTATTAGACCCGATTTGTGGATTCTTGCTAAGAAATCCAAGGTAACAAATCCATATATCAATAACTTATATATGACAATGATGACAGTGATGTCAGTCAAAAGTAATGAAGTAAAAGGCTGTCAGCCAAACCTCACGTAAAATTGATTTATATGGATTTTTGGTCTTTTTACCCCGGGTCTGAAAAGAAATATTTGTAAATTTATTTTGACCTCTCGAGAACAAACCTTTTAAATTAATACTTAACACCGCCAAGTACTAACTCGCTTTACAAGTTCTGGATAGCTGCAAACTTTGGCAATGGTTTTCTGTACTTTCTCGATACATATGTATCGTCCAAGAAAAGAACCAAATTAAAAATGTGTTACATAGTGTGTTTTTTTATTTATGTTTCTTATAATATGAATAATCACAAAACACCATCTCCGCACACCTTACTGCGATTATATTAGATGTGAGATCTTAGTTCATCATTGGTGAACCCCCTCTCAGCAGTTTCGCTCAATAATTCTCCAGACTTCTGCTATTATATTTTATATAGTATGTATTTACCGAGGTAGGCAGTTTAGTGGCATATAGGAATTCTATGGACATAAGATTATAGTTTTTGCTTAAATACTATAATCATAGAGAGTTTGCTTGAATACCATAACCAAGATTCCCCCTACAGTGTCGCATATATAAGCAGAATCGGCCAATACAATAGTAAAGGCTCTAAAAGACCAGGCCCTTTCAAATTTTCACCACAGTAAGGACAGTTGAGATTTTGTGCTTTATTTCGAAAAGAAAAATTGGGCTTAATAGTTTCATTTCGTATATAAGCTTCTAGTTCTGTCGAAGCGCGCGAACATATAATTACAAAAAGTGCCTCGATCAACGTTCTAAGTAAATAGGTTATAATGTCATCCCACGAAAAAAGAAAGCAGAGCTCCAAACCCCACCCGTGGAACATTTATTGTATTGAGGGGGAAGGCAATCGATGAAATAGAGAAATGAACGTCTCCTTACTAGGAACTTCAATTTGGGGACATTTTATTGGAAGATCTCAATTTCCATCTCGTTTCGTTTCCTGGAAAATGTCGTTTTTCACAGCAATTCCTACAGGCGTTCTTCCGTCGACAGCGTTGTCATCATTTGGATCATTACCAGAAGTCTTTCTTCCTCATAATGATATACACTAGTGGAACTAGGAATTATAAACATGGCCCAAATAATCTCCTATATATTTTTTATGAAAAAGTATCTAAAATAGCTAAATTCGGGCATATTTTCAATTTAATCTCATTCATTGTATTCAACAGCCTGTATATTCATTTTAAATAATATTCTACCAGTTTCTTTGTAGCATCAAGACATTCACAGCATGAAACACAAGTACAAAACAATAATTCCAGTCCCCAACATATTTTTGATAGTATTCAACACACCAATCAGGATGTCCTAGACAATATAGACTGAAAATCACCAAGCTTCTGAGACATCACCAACTTGGGTAAATTGTATTATTTTTCAGCAGACGACATTATGATAATAAAATATATCATTTGACTATCACGCACAGTTTCCTGGACGTGCATACGTGGCCAACTACCCGGTATAGCCATCTTACATATAGTCTCTTCCCCATGAAAATAAACTCTAAAATCTAAGCGCCATTTAGAGACCGTATTTGAAAACTAGCGGCATCGAGTCGGTGACAAGGCCGCAGCCGCAGCACCAGCTTTGACAAATTGGGAAGCGCACACCTGGAAACCATGGTTTCGGACAAATGGTCCTCGTCAGTTCAGGGCGGGTTTTTATTTCACGAGATTCACAAGGATTCAAAGGAAATATTCTCAATTCGCCAAAGTTTCTAGTTTGCGGGGACGATAACTAGATGGCGCTTAGTTTTGTCGTCAATTATGACAGCGAGGCGATCTTTTTTTTATAGATCAATATCCTCCCGACAAGAAGTTTCCATGCAGTTGTGTTCAAAAGAAGTATTTATAGTCGCATTGTGTTCATTATATAATCTTTCTCTTCACTTTTATCTATATATATAAAAGTCAATTTCTGTCTGTCTGTCTGTTTCGCGATAAACTCAAAAACTACTGAACCAATTGGTACCAAATTTTGCATGTCGCTTTTTATAAACCTGAGGAAAATTTTCGGCTGCATTTTGATTAGTATTTTTGGCTATTTCTTTTTTTCATTTGAAGAACTTTTTTTTTACGCGGACTAATCCGGAATGGAATGAATACCTAAATATGGCCATTTTTTTAAAGCATCGGTGGTTCAGTGGTAGAATGCTCGCCTGCCACGCGGGCGGCCAGGGTTCGATTCCCGGCCGATGCTTTTTTTTTAAAACAATTTTTAAAACTCATTTATATTATATTTTCTATATCTTCTTATATATATAAATGAATGTTTGTATGTTTGTTTGTTGGTTTGTATGTCCGGTATACAAATTCGCAGTAGTTCACTAATTCAAACCAAAATTTCCATACATAGGTAAAAAAATACGGGGAAGACGATAGGCTATTTTAAAAAATATATAAATCAATTATTAAAACTATATATTATTAGTCAGAAAATGATGATGACGATATTGCTGTATCATGTAAGATTATAAGATACAAAATTATATCGGAAAAAATTCCAAAAAGCAGAGACCACGGGTGAAACCAGCTCATTATTTTGTACGCAGGAACAAAATTCTAACAGAAAAACATTCATTCGAGCAGAAAACAAAAGCCAGATCATCTTTCTATAAAAATATCGCTTCTCAGACACAAAGTTTGGAGCGGGACGTTTCACAAGAGTGACATCCACGCCGCCAATTTATAATTGTAACGAATAGTATTTAAATAAAAACATTTAATCGGGTAAAACCCGGGCGTTGCCCGGGTCATTCGGCTAGTTTCTTTATATAATACACCTATCCCCCGATTTACACGGTACTTATTTCACACGTTTTCGCTTTTACACGGTTTTCCAAATTAGTTTTTTTTTTTTGTTTTTATCGCACTATACTAAATGCTACTGTGATTGAACACATGCGCTGTGTACACATCTCACGAGGAATCCCGAGCTTATGTGCTGACTACATATTTTAACCTGTCAATGCATTTTATTTTAATTTCTGTGTACACCTATCCCCCGATTTACACGTTTCTCTCAGGAACGTATCTACCGTGTAAATCGGGGGATAGATGTACTTAACGCCTCAATCAGTTTATATGTATACTGAGTGCTGAAAAATATGGTCCTCTTTATTCATGAACTTGAGAACAGTAATTAAAGCAGTGGGCGCGTGATTTCGTTGTGTTTCGAAAATCTAATGTTAATAAACTGTGTTCCTAGAAATCAAAGATTCCAACGTTTTTTATTTTTAATTATGCGTCCTACACCTCATCGGGCTAAGATTGCGCACCTGACCGACGAAGGTGTTTGCCCTTCAGACATCGCTCGCCGGCTCAAAATCAACGCCTGAATTGTTAGGGGGATTGTAAAGCAATACCGGGAGCGAGGGCATTATGGAGTGCTTCCAAAATCGAGCCGCCCAAGGATGGTCAACACTTCTGTGACACCGTGAAGATCAAACGGCGACCACCTCCTCTTTATCTGCCCAAACTTTCAATACCATAGATTCCTGACGGCCACTCTCTTAGGGATTACCAACATAATGTAACCTATATATATCGTCACTGTAGTGATGTCGAGAGTCTTTCAAGTTAAAGTGAATAAAGATTTAATAATTTATTAATAGGATAAAAGTGTTAAAAAACGCAGTTAAATATTTATTTATTATTTATTTAGTTAAAACAGGTTCCTGGAGAGTACAGAAATTGCCAACTGCCCGGGCTGTCCTTCTGACCTAAGTTTTCTTGGTTTCATTTACAATGCCAGTGGAAGTCCAATTCATGAAGTGGCCCCATGTAAATTTATATATACAAGGTATTACATAAAATTCGGGGAATTGGGACATAAAAGATTTATTAGATGAATATATACAAAAAAAGGCTAATTTCCTCAAAAAACTGTCCGAGGGAATCAATGCAGAGTTTCATTCTTTTTTTCCCTGTTCCGGAAGCACCCAGAAAATTCGTCAGAAGTAATGCCCCTTAAAACGCTCTGCGATTTTTCCTTTATGGCATTAACGGTATCAAATCTGTCCTTTTAGAACTGACTTCATTCTAGGAAAGAGAAAGAAATCATTTGGTGCTAAATCAGGCGAGTACGGGGGATGAAGCATTGTCAACATGCTATTTTTAATCAAAAAGCCACCCACGGAAAGAGCTCTGTGTGCTGGGGCGTTATCGTGATGAAACATCCATTCGCCCGAGATTTTCTTTTCCGGTCGTTTCTTCCATATTGATTTACGTAAACGGCGTAAAATCGCTAGATACACGTGTTGATTAATTGTTTGACCTAGTGGGAGGAATTCATAATGCACAAAGCCTTGGTGATCGAAAAAAAGTCACCAAGAGAACCTTTGTTTTTGACTTAAGCATTCTTGCTTTTTTCGGTTTGGAGCCATTATCGGGAGCCACTGGCTCGATTGTCGTTTGGTCTCTGTGTCATACCCATAGACCCAGGTTTCAACACCAGTAATCACCTTTGTGAGGAAGTTTGGATCTTCATGGATGTTCAATAGCCAACCTTCGCAGGCATTACCCCTTTCCTCCTTTTGGGCCCCTCGGACAGAATTTTTGGAACAAATTTCGAAAACTTTCTTTCAAGTTCAAGATCCTCGATCAATATTTTTTGACACGTTCCATATGAAACCCCTGTTTCTTCTACTAGTTATCTGATCGTTGTCCTAGGGTTTTCCCATATTAAAGCACCAACTTTTTGGGTCAGTTCTTCATAATTTTCCAAAGAAGGTCCCCCCTGGCGTGCGTCATCTTGGGTTGACTCTCTACCAGCTTGAAACGGGCAAACCACTTAAACGTTTTTGATTGTGATAAGGCTGCCTCCCCGAACACCAATTTCGACATTTAAAACGTTTCTGGCGCCGTTTTTCTTAATTTTTGACAAAACTTGATGCATACCTTTTGTTCACTTTTAAGATCCATTGTAAAAAACGCCGCGCCTTTGTTTCTTTAAAAAAATGCTTATAAAATTCTTATTATTTGAGATATCGAAAAGAAATAAATATTTTCTAGTAGAACGAGGTATCGTGATTATGATAATGTTTTTTATTTTTCTAAAACTCTTTCAGAATTTTTTTTGACTAATTTCCCGAACTTTTTTTTTATCATACCTTGTATGCATGTATACGGATCAAAATATATATTTCAACAGTTTTAAACGCGATGCGTTTATTTTTATTTAATAAATAAATTCCATTCCGTTCTCAAAAAATGTCAAAATATACCTGGATTTCTTTATATTTATAGCTATGTATTGAAGAAAGTTCCCTATAAGCCATCCCTATTAGCAAAGTTTACCTACTGTGACGACTTCTAACGCAGCAGTAGTTTAGAGGTGGAGACAATGTGTATTCAAATCCGGCCTCCACCCGAGTGGACAACAGGGTCACAGGATGTCCATTACATCGCCCTCTTCCGCTGACTTCATCTAACTCTGGTGGCAGGTTGCCGTCAACGACCGCCAACTGTGAGGACAAAGTTTAACTTCGAACCGATTCTTTGTCACTTTCTTTAATGCTGTACAGTTGGAAGTAGGTTATCTATGCGAATTATATATAGCGTTTGTTAAAAAATGCTTTGCTATAATTTATGATGTATTGAGAATCTATAAACTTGCACAATGGGGATCTTTTAGTTTACATTCAAAAGGGAATAGCTTCCGAGCTAAAATCTCTTCAACAGGCCTCTATAATAAGACCAACAAGCTTGCAAATATGGTTGAAGAGCTTTTCGCTCGAAAGCTATAGCATTTTAAATATAAAATAAAGTCTACTCATTGCAAGTTTATTTTATAGACTCCTAATGAATAATTTTTGCAGGTATAATCGCACATTATAAATTAATGGTTATAACCTGGGTATATATGACATTCGCATTCAACTTTTCTAAGGAATCCCTTGGTCGGCAGCGCGTTGAGCAAACTCGCCGGCAAAGTAGTTGCAAATCCTCTTTATAAGAAACACAAATTCTACCATTTTAAAGGTTGTCGAACATTGTATACCATTTGTATAATGTTAGAAATTTTGCAGTATATTTTCATTGCGATTATATTTCGGTATATTGAGGTTATTTTCATTAAAAATTATATTAATACCTTACCGCAAAGTTTTTTTTCAAGTAAATTTTATTCGAAGCTTTCGGGTATTGCTCTTTATCAACTTGTAGTTACAATCTTTGAAATATAAAATTAAAACTACAGGTTGAGAAATAGAAAGACCTGAAAGATCTCATTAAAGGTATATATTTTAAACTTTCCGGTAAACCATTATATATATATATATATATGTGTGTGTGTGTGTCATAAAAAAAACGTATATTCTATTTACGTTACCAATTCATGCAGTCGTGGATGGTAAAATGAATAATAACTTTTGTGTCCTAAAACTATATTTATTTTTTGATTATATTTCAAAAGCAAACAGTTTTTTTGCATACATAGACAACTAACTACGTTATTATTTATTTAAGTAACCCAGGTTCCTGGAGCGTACAGAAGTCGCCAACTACCCGGGACTAACTACGTTATTATTTTTTAAAAAATAGCAAATTAGGTATATTCCTTTTGTTTAGGATTTCTTTACATTTTAAAAATTAACTCTGTGTTTAGTTTTTACTTTTATTTTTAAATTATATTTTAGTTATATTATGAAAACAATTTTAATATATATATTGATTATGATTATAAAATTTTAATTATATTAATGAATAATAAAAATCATATTTTTATTATGTCATTTCTTCCCTCTAAGGATAAAAATTAGGGAGTAATTTTCAAAGTAAGTAAAAAAAGTGTCATTATTATTTACATAGTTTATCAATTAAGATGGAGGATACCAATTGAAACTATATCAATGATGCTCTTTATTCCATCTACATATTCTTATTTGTACCTTTGTTTTTGACAGTAGCTAAAAATTATCCAATCTTATTTGAATTTATAGGTGTCTCCTTCCTATAATTCATAAGGGGATTTACCTCATGAATTGAGTAGGCCTTCTCAGGGCTCTCAAGATTCAAAAGGTATTTTGCCACATGCCAAAGAAAAATATATATTTTCGATAATCACAAATTTATTTCTCATAATAACAAATTGGTACCCAACATCTTGTTTCACATTTATTTGATTTGATCAAAATAAAAAAATAAAATAATGGGTTATTTACTTCCATATAATAAAAAAATATTTACATATGAAGTTTT